CATAAGCATAAAATTACAAATTAGGTTTTTTTTCTTTTTGCTTATTTTGTTGGTTACACCAACTGAGCGGTACGATATTCTAAATTCATTTTTCTGCTGTTGTTGTCGTTGTTGCTGTTTTGCTGTGTACAATTTAACAAGAAAAAAAAGGAAGCAAATAATTTGGTTTTTAATACTTTTGATTTTTTCAAAGTTTCTTTCTTTTTGTAGTTTTCTGTTTCTTTTTTTTATTTAGTCGTTCTTTTTTTTTTTTAAGAAGCACTGCTGTTTTTAAAAGGGTTTTTTTTGGAAGGGGAAGAGTAGGGGAGAGGTGGGTGGAGAGAAGGTTAAATATTCAATTTTTTTTGTTGTGCAATAAAATAAAATCAACATCTTTCTATGATTGGTAACATTTGTTTTTTGAATTATGTCACTAAAACTGACAGTAAGTTAGATGTCTATTGTCAAAGCTGAGGACATTTAATATTACAAAAAAATGATGAAAAAAAATAAAACAGACAAATTTTTTTGTCATATTTTTTAGAGGAACCTTGTCAAATGTTAGTCGATCAGAACGGAGTACGAAAAAAAAAACATAGCATTCAGAGCACAAAAAAAAATTAAGAAAATTAATTTTTCTGATGTTTTCTGATGCATACACTTAACTTTGATACTGAATACTGTTGAAACTCAATGAAATTTAATTTCCTTTTCTCCTTTTTTTTTTTCTTTTTTGATGACATAAAACTTTAGATGGTTTAGAAGGAAAAAAAACGGTTAAAAACAACGGATAAGGTTGTCTGCTGCAGAACAGATTATCTGAATTAGTTTTGCTGATCAAAGAAGATTATCTGTACACATAGACATCACAGCAATAACTTATCAACAACAGCTTATGGTTTTGCTTTTTTAGTAGCCAAAAGAAAAGAAAAAGGGTAACCAGTATCAAAGTTTTTTCTTTTGGTAATCTTTACCAAAACAGATATTGATTATATGAATCAAATTACAACGACCACCATTGTGGTACTGCACTGTTTTAACAGCACTGTTCTTGCTTAATGTTTTACTTATTACCGTTATAAATAATACACTTAAATATATCCACAGTTTTCATTGATAGGTTCGGTTATAGCAAAAAAACAAAAAAATAAAGCTTTTTCTCTTTTTTGACGTTTAAACTATAATAATACACTATGATTTTAAAGCTAAATTATGAAGGTTATTGAAAAGGAAGAAAAATTCTTTTTTTTTTTGTAGAATTATTGAAAGCTTCAAAATTCAGTGGTATTGTTGCACCATCTTTTCTTTTTGTTCTGTTGCTTTGGACAAATTTTTACCTGAGTAATATATATGTATATATAAGTGGAAGAAAGAAGAGTTTTTTATTCTTTCTTTTTTTGACATTGTATGAATTATAATATTATTTCTGCTCAGTTTATATGCCAGTAAAAGCTAGCATATATTAATAAATGATTGAGAGGAAAAAGAAAAAAACTAATACTTATTTGTTATTTATTGTTGAAGGATATAATAAAAAAAAAAAAAAAAGCCAGAAGAAAGGAGGAGGAAGAAAAAGAGTTTGTATGTGTTTATTATACATATGATGTATATAGATTTTTCGTCACTTTTTCGTATACGTTTTTTTTTGTCTATTTGATACAAAGAGGTGCAAAATTAGACGGGTGAGAAAGGTGGTGGTAAAGCTTAAAAGGATAGGAAAAAAAGTAGACAAAAAATAGAAGTTGAGAAGAAGGAGGATGGGGGGTTAAGGGTAAGGCGAAGGAAAAAGAAGGAGGAAAAAGGAGAGGCGAGAAAACAAACTTTTTTTTTATTTATTATTAATCAAAAAGGGGAAAAAGGAGAATATCAAATTTGCTGCGCTTCAGAAACTTGGTTAGCTTCAACTTATGGCTGTTCAACTGCTTTTCCTTATTCTTTTTCTCTATCTTTCTTTCTTCATTTTTTTTTTCAGTGGTAATATTGATATTTGTTGTTGAAAGTAAACTTGTCTATAACACAATAAACACATATATTATTCAGTTAACAGCCAATTCAGATGTCTTTCTATGGTTAGCGGAACAGACAAGAAAAAAAAAAAGAGTAGGAGGAATAACCTAAATAAATGAGCATTTTTTTGTCCTCTTTTTATAGATTACTGATACCGATTGGCTGAGATGGCAATTATGACGACGATAGGCTAATGTAACTTTGACTAACACTGGGCGAAGTTTAGTGCTGTTGCATTGGTTGCTTTTGATGCCATTTGTTTTGGTCAATAAATATCAGACTTCTTTTTTCTGATTCAAATCTTTTTGAACTTTTTTTTCCTATTTTTCGGTTTCATATATATATATAT